TAATTTTTATTTTAATACTATTATCATGTAAATAATTTTAATTAATTAATTAATTAAATTAAAATTAACATTTATATAAATTAATTATAAAAATATATAATAAATATACTTTTAATCTATATCTTATAAACACAACATAAAAGACCCAAAAAAAAAAAAAAAGAAAAAAAAGAAAAAAAGATAAACGGAAAAAGAAATTTAAAGCTAGCTTGACCATAACTTTGAAGATTACCATGGCTGCTATTCGTGGCTAGCTAGTCTTAGTGGTTCTTAACAATGTCTACAAAGCTCTACCCATTGGCCTAGTCGTAGTGGTTCATACCAATTTCTGACAAAGCTACCCATAGATCTCTTGTTTCACATGAAATATATCCTTTCATCAGGGCTTGAAAAGTCGTTCAAGATTAAAGGGTTTCGAGCATTATTATGACGTTATGCTCGCAATACAACGTCAAAGGAAAATTATGGTTGTCAATGATATATAAGATGTCAAGGTTAATTATACTAATAATAATTTAAACTTAAATTTTTAAAGATGATATCAATTTCTATGAGAGGTTATTAGACTAGTAAGGTTTCAAACTAGTCGGTGATAGCTTAACAAAATTTTCGCCTCTTTGACAAAGTAGGTGACTTTTTGGTCACAATCGGAATCAAATCAACTTTATTGGGAAGCTTTGATTGTCTCCCCCACCATAGAAGTTGAAAACTCTTGTTAAAACTCCATTCACACAATATCACAAGTCCATATAATTTCACATCTATTTCCCACCTACATTTGCTTAATTTCTCCATAAACTTTAAGCTACAATGATTTGAAACTTTTGTATAAAAATCCGAAATTTTATGATTATATGGCTCTCCTATTTGGGTTTCCTACCCAGTTGTTATGATGGAACCTCCAATATTGTTTCCAATTGCGTGAGTGGTAGCTGCCGTCCCGTCTTAGTAACTACGTTGAATCGTCGGTTCGCTGCAAGATTATCAAATTGGAGGTGGACTATTATCTCCAAAAAGACCTTTATATATATATATATATATATATGAGGCAATTATCTTCTTCAAAGCATTGGATTTTGGGAGGCGGAAATGGTTGAGTAGTGGTCTTTTTATCTTTATGGTAGCAAATTTTTCGTGTAGATGAACAGTACGATCCGAGAAATGAGAGGAATGATGGCATGTATCATATTGAGGGGTCAAATCTTGTGCCCATAAAAAGTGCACATTTTAAGAAATCTGATTCATCCATGCCCACAACTTTTTGTATGGTTCCGCAAGCA